AGCGGCCGTCAAAGTGGCGCAACCACAACTGGCTGCTGCATCATGACAACGCGCCAGCGCACACCGCCCTCAAAGTTCGGTAGTTTTTGGCCTCAAACACTATGGCCGTCATCCCGCACCCTCCTTATTCGTCGGATTTAGCTCCGTGTGACTTCTTCCTCTTCCCCAAGATGAAAATTCAGCTAAAGGGAAGGAGATTTGAGACGATAGAAGAGATTCAGGCAGAATCGCAGATGGTGCTTGACAGGCTGACAAAGAAAGATTTCCAGGGATGCTTCCAGGCTTGGCAGCGGCGCTGGGATCGTTGTGTTCACTCCCAGTGGAACTACTTCGAGGGTGATGGATGAATTTAATACCTGAGATAAGTGTACGGGTTTTTATAGGCGCAGTCTTGAAACTTTCCGATCGCACCTCGTATGAGGGGCATTATTGGGATATTTTGGTTGTGTGTTTGACCCTGAGGCCTGGTCACACTACAGTTCAAGGTTCGTAGAGGAGGAAGTGAAATAGTTCTGAACAGGCTGTTGACACAGGAAGAATTCCCAGTGGCACGAAATGCAATAAAAGGATTATTTATGCTTGTCTTCCAGAAGGCGGTGGACATTTTCACAATCTGCTGCAAAGCTCTTCTGTAAGTTTTTTCCCCAAGAAGCACTAGAAACTCATTTGTCTTGTTTGTTGATGTCACCAAAGTTCACAAATATTGTTTATGTAAGATTACGTTTTCAAGTGGGTGGTCTTATGACAATGCTTCATCCCGTGTACTTATCAGCGATTAGAAAAGAATGAGTTGAAACTTTTACAAGATGGGCTCCCTTTGAGATCAGAAAAATGTTACATGTTGGGGGCACAGTGTTGACATCTGACTGTCATTCGTTAGGTAACTCACCCGGTTTTTGTTCGGAGCCAGGTGCAGGTAATCCTGACGGATTTGTGCACATTTGCCTGAGTCCTGTGTCATTTCGTATTATCATGCATTGTTTTACTGCACGACACATAAACTATCCTGTTGAAACACCGTCGTTTCACAGCCGAAATCGAATCTCGCTCATATGAAATTATGTAAATGATCGATCCATTGAAATTTTGATGAGTTTTCAGTTGAAAAATTTATGATGTCCGTTAACTATGAGTTTCGAAGGCTGTGTTATTATGTTGTCGTCACTGTGAGATCAACCAAGTGCCGGGTCAAAGGTGAAGTCCGTAACTTTGTACCTGGGCGAGGGTTGACAAAGGACTGTCGCACACCAGACGGGGCAGTGATGGACTGTGAAGCAGTGGTGGATTGATGATTAAGAAATTAAATCAGCTCCATTTCCACTTCGTCCAACTTGACTTTATTTGAACCATGGTCCTCGCAGTAAGAAGCCAAATCAGTGTCTGGACGCCTGTTTTATTACAGTTCTATGCCAATAATTGCTTAGGGGGAGAACAACTCGACAAATCTCAATCAGGACATTCGAGGTTCAATTGCGATGTTCGCTGTTTCTCTCTGCCAGACAGTCGTGATTAACCCTTTGAAGTCTGAGAATGTATATAATATTTAACTTTTCAGTCCGTAAATCAAATAAAACACAATGTTCCTCCATTACAAAGATCAGTTGGTTAATTTTGTTTAGGGAAACAGAGTCTGTTCCGAGAATCATACGAAACCCATAAATACACTCGGTGGGCAAAATACAAAATTATCGATTGCTAAAGCGGATAGGCGTTTAAGAGCTGACACGATATGCGTATGCGTTTGGTTAATCATGCGAAGTTTCTGTCATTTCAGAATTTGACTTCGCTTTCCGTCCTGTGGTTCTACGCCTTATTCACCACTCCTTTGGAGAGTTCTGCGCGTGTTTGTCACGACAAGACCATACACCGCTTTCATAACCAATTTTATTCGATCCACTTGGGACGAGATTGCTTACCGAAACGCCAACTTCTTCCACTAGATGTGGCAGAATTCTTACCTGTCCTCATTTCTTATAATATTTTCACAATTTACGATTCTGTAAATATTTGTGCCAATTATATATTCGTTATGGGAATGTGTTTAACATTTTACATTGTCTGTGGTGTAAACTAATTAAGGAATTCTTCACGAAAACATTTATCCGTTTCAAATTTAATAAAAGAGAGGGAGAAGATAAAGTAGGTGAGTAGTCAGGGACACAAAGTTTAACGGGGGAGGAGAACAGAGATTTACGGCTATGAAGGTTCACAGACAGTGCTCGTTCGTCCTGGTAAACGTAGGTTGAAGAGAAGGTAAGGCGTTCAGAAGTGGAAAAGGCAGACGGATGAAAAATGGAACAGTGAGAGAAGTTGGGCAGGTCCATAGTGTATTCGTACACAATTTTGAATTTTGATATTAATTCTGACCTTGGTTGAAGACGAGGTTATTACAAATGCAATCTAAGAACTTATTTCTCACCTCAAAGGGAGCTCACTGAGTCTCTGTTACAGAGATAAATTGCTTACCTGTGAAATACTGGACTGACTCCCCCGATGCCTGATTTATACAGGTCATATGGATAAATGGTTACACGTTTTAATATAAATGTTATTTCTTTGACGGAGACAAGGAATGCATAATGCATTTTTGGTGGGAAACCGTCTATGAGTATGCAGTTGGTATGAAAATGTATAAGAGCATAATGTTATTAAAATCGGCCTTAGATGATTTGTGAAGTTCACAGTGAATGTAAATAGATTTGTTTCTTATAAAATCGCGAGCTGTAATGGTGCAGTTCTTACCATTCTGTAGCATCCCCCCCCCCCCATGAACCATTTTGTTCGAATTAAAAGCGAAGTGTAAGAACTTTCACCTCGGTTTTAGTTGGTGATTGAGTGCTTATTAAAACAATTCAAGTTTATTATGGTTATGTTGGCAGTGAAGTGTCGTTGTTGTTGGCAGCTGTGAAGCTGTAGGGGAGGTGTGGCTGACAGTAAACCTTGTACTCATTATTTCTGCAGCTTGTCTGCACACGAGGCACAACTTCTACTTGTACTGAAGTAGCAGGTGGGATGTTGTGACGAACTTCTATTGTATACGAGATAATTAATGAAATTGCTGTGTTTTGCATATAAAGTCTCGTGACGTCTTCAACAAAACCAATTTGCTTTGCTGGTCATAGCCCTATTCAGTTTATTCGCAAATGAAATCTTGATTTGTTGAGAGTCGTTTGTTCGAATGAAAGGTAGTTAATTTTTATTTGGTATTTGTGTAATGTTTTTTCATCTTTTATGCTTGTCGCAAGATATCTTAGAGCTTCGTTGACCGTTACATTTACACGTGTTGGGGGATGGTTAGCCGATGTGTGGGGTTGGAGGAGATAACATGTCTGCATGGGTCACAATTTTAGAATTTTATCTGAACCATTTGGATTTTTCTAGCCGGAGCCTGAAGTTTATCGCGAAATATGTTACCTGTACCCGACCGAAGCCCGACTTCGTTTTATTTCAACCCGAATGAGGCCTGATCTATTTACAATTTTTCATTACCCTTGTGATTAACATATTCGAGGGATAGAACCGCCGATAATAGTTGTGAAAGAGGTCTAGTGTGCCTCAGCGTCGGTCTGGCTGCGAAGAGAGAAGTCCCTGTCACTGCCAGGAATCGAATCCGTGCTATCCAATTCACACCTAAAAGCTTCACTGACTGAGGTACTGGAAAGTCTGTTCTCCACAAATTTGAACACACTTCCACCCTTGTCTATTATTTTAAACTTCTGAAGCCGAATGAAGTTGATAAGAGGAAGTAGGGAGTAGTGACAGACGCTATGTTTAACGGGAAAACAAATTTTAAACTGTGAAGGTTCCCAGGCAAGGCTCGCTCGTCCTTCTGTTTAAGGTAGGACGTTTGAAGTGAGAAAGATAGAGAGACGAAACTTGCAGGAAGGAAAGGAGTTGAGCAGCGTCGTTCAGTTACAAATTTTAAAGTTTATATTAACCTTGAGAGGGCGGTATTAGGTGACATTTTGACGTTAATATTACGGGGTGGAATTCTGTTATTAATATTGCGAGAGCTTTATGAGAAGGTCGCAGTTCAAAGTGGAATTTGTTTACCAACTCAGAATTTAGCCTAGGACCGAGAAAAAACACGGAAAACCTTGATGAAGTGCGGTCACAGAACCTTCTGGATGCGTTCTGACTACTAACGAGGAGTCCGGTATTTAAACGCGAGGCTTAACTTGTACTTGCCCGTAGTTTAATTGAAACTTTTAAAGATGTGATATAACAGATTTGTATTCTTTGGACGTGAAACGAATTGCTTTAAGTATGTTTCTTTTTCACACGAACAGCCTGGAATGTGACTTAAGCCAAAGATCGTCCAATTAATATTAAGAAAGTACAGTACATACCTCAAAGAAAACACAATAATAAGATCTCTTGGTTAATTATTTTGAGGAATTAATCCCTTTCTACAGTGAGAATGATGCGAAAATCATAAATACAAGTTGCAGGCCTTTCTACAGTGAGAATGATGCGAAAACCATAAATACAAGTTTCAGAGTTATTGATTGTTAAAGCGGTTGGTTTGTATGATTACCACTGGGTTTTAAAGGGTTAGTGGGATTTCGTCTGGTATTTACTTCTCACGAGATCATCTCTTTAAACCCTTCAGCGACAGTTTACAGTTCTGTCCCTTCACGCGTTTTACATAGTAATTTTGTCTTCACGCCATCTCCACTCCTGTTAAAATGATGGTCGTTAGAAGTCAGAGCATGTAATCCAGCAGATTCACAGATTGTCTCCCCAGTAAATGGCTTTGCGCTCCCTGGTCTATAAAATTCATCGTTATAACCCACACATCAATAGCAAACCCATAATCAATCTTGTGGTGTCAAATGGGACTTAGGCTGTGATTTCAGCCTTGCTACAGCTCCTTAGCGTGTAAGTAGCTTCAGAGACCTCTGTTATACGCTCTGACTCCTACTGGCCATCAGAAGAACTGTCATACGGCAGTCAATATGCTTTTAGTGACCTTTTATTTAGGGGCATTTCAGTCGTATCCAGACACACAGGTCTTTAGTTTTCGTGGTGATCTGTGATGACATCTTCAACCAGTAGGGTGGAAATGTACGAAGATGGCTTTCTTCTGGATTGTAGCACCGTGAAGTTTGGTAGACGTTTACCAATGCACTGATGATGAAGGTTGGTGAACTTCTACCAGATATGAATAAAAAGTAAAGTTTGTTCCACTATACGCCATGTAGGCGTTTGGGGTGAGTGGAGGTATAGCTTCTCTCTTCCTTGACCTCGGCACTAGATGGGGGTGTGTGGTAAGTATCACGCCCCGGCCGGCTTTACCCCCAGGAAAGGACCCCGGCACCCATTGTAGATGAGGCTGGGTGGGCCCCAGAGCCGGTCTGGACGCAGAGGCTAGAGGAAAAATCCTCTGCTCCCGTCGGGGATCGAACCCCGGCCGTTCAGCCCGTATCTAGTCACTATACTGACTGAGCTATCCCGCTCATACCAGATATGAATATATATACTACAATTAACCCATTGTGTCTTCTGTGATTATTAGATGTACATTCGGTAGATTACATAAAATTAATGTGTATAGCGTGTTAGATTATTGAAATTGTATCAACTCCTTATTTATTTATTATTGTTTCCCTCGTTAAATTGTGTTATATTTTTCTCGTGTTAAGAATTTGTTTGTGGGCCATTTGATTGGCAGTAGCTTCTCAGTTACTTTAGTTCATTCTTGTGGAAACACCTGCACAGTTAACATCACGTTTTCCAGGAACGTAGTCAAACTGCAAGTGATCGTTACGACTATTAACTCCGTGGAGAAGAATCCTTAAGAATCTAACAGTCAGTTTCAGTCTACGAATTACTCTGTTTGTGATGCAACCCGAAACTTGCGAACTCTGTTTATCTATTTATTTATTTATCTGTGTTTTATTTAGTGACGCTGTCAGTAGCACAGTTGTATAACGTGGAACCGTGTCCAAAAAGTCCGCCACCGGTACTTATCCTGTGCCACTTGAATTCACTGAACTCACCCCCGTTCTATTTTCATAAAATTCATTTTAATATTATCGTCGTTCCTTTTACGCCATCTCTTCCATCCGTGCTCCACCGAACAAATCCTCCTTGATTTTATCGTCATCCTGATATCGGGTGTTCTTAAGAGCATTTCCCTTTACTATTTATTTATATATTGCATGACCCTACAGTCCTTGGAAGACCTTGTCATCCTCAGATATAGGAGTATTCTTAAGCTGTTTAAGCATTTGATAGGACTTCTTTGACGAAGGTCTCTACCTGCAGAGGGCATCACAACACAACCGAGGTGAAGCATCCATGCCTTGAGAGGTATTCGAACCCAGATCCCAGTGTCTTAGCGACCAGGCCAACAGCACGGTCCTTTGCTGTTATTAATTCCTTTAGATCCTTTGAATGCTGGGAGTGATGAGGGAGACGTCGTTCGTTCATTTGGAGCATGTGCATTTTGCAAAACGTAATTAGTGAGCCTAGCTCGAGGTTAAACCCGTTTTTTTCTCAAACGGGAATGAAGGGTGAGGGTGAATCTAACCATGCTCGCGTCAGGAGTTGATGGTTAGGGATGAATTTGTAGTAAAAGGGTTCGGCCAATATATTGGGACACGCGTCTTGTTTGTAGCGTGACGTTAATAATTGGCTTCGACATTTTATACCACGCGCAGAAGCGTCATTAATTCTGCTTATTTTGTTGTTGCACAGAATGCTTTAGAGTAGCCCTCACGAAGATGACAACGCGTTTGATTTTTATTATGGAGCCATCCTGTTTGAGTCTTGATCAGGACCAACATGTCGCTGTGCTGTCTTCATTAATCGTTTTCATCATTGTCAAATGACTTTTACAGCAGCTACAACAACTTTAAAATTACACATTTTTTCAGCCATACCTTTATAAAGTAAAATTATTCTTAACAAGCTGATAGTCTCTGATCA